ATTTTGATGTTTTTTTTTTTTAAGAAGTCTCTTCTGCTCACCAAGCCTGCATTTATTTGATCCAAAGTACAGCAAAAACAGTAAAATTTTGAAATATTTTTACTATTTAAAATAACTGTTTTCTATTTGAATACATATGATCCTTCAGAAATCATTCTAATATTCTGACTTGCTGCTCAAAATTTTTTTTTTTATTATTATTATATTGAAAACAGCCGAGTATAATTTTTTCAGGTTTTTTTGATGAATAAAAAGTTCAGAAGAACAGCATTTATCTGAAATAGAAATCTTTTGTAACATTATAAATGCTTTATCATCACTTTTGATCAATTTAAAGCATGAATAAAAGTTAAATAAATAAAAGTATTAATTTCTATAACCCCCCCCCCAAAAAAAAATAAAATAAATACAAATAATTATACTGACTCCAGGGTTTTGAATGGTATGGTGTATAATGTTACAAAAGCTTTTTATTTCAGATAAATGCTGATCTTTGGGTCTTTCTATTCATCAAAGAATCCTAAAAAATGTACTCAACTGTTTTAAATATTTATAATAATAATAATAATAATAAATTTTTCTTGAACAGCAAATCAGCATATTAGAATGATTTCTGAAGGATCATGTGACACTGAAGACTGGAGTAATGATGCAAAAATTTTTACCTTTGATCAATGGAATAAATTACATTTTAAAATATATTTAAAATGGAAAGCAGTTATTTTAAACAGTAAATATTTCACAGTATTACTGCTTTCGCTGTATTTTGGATCAAATAAATGCAGGCTTGGTGAGCAGAAGAGAATTCTTTAAAAAACATGAAAAATCTTACTGTTCAAAAACAGTATTTATAAAGTTCTTATATATTGTTTACTGATATTTTGTCCTGTCTTAGGGTCATCATCCTACTCTTGGGGAACATCCTAAGTTTACAATCTACACTTTTGATGTAGAGGAGTTCATGCAGTTAGTCCTTCTAGCGGCTGAACATGTGACCCGGCACCCGGCATGGCACGCAAAACAGGCCCGAGATGAATTGTAGCCTGTAAGACACAGTGCTCTCTTGCCAGGCAAAAGATGAACACACTCCTACCAACTCTCTGCACTCTGTAAATGTAGCCGTGCTAATGAAAAGTGCATAGCTAATATGTGAAAACACATTTTAAATTCAGAAAACAAAAAAACAAAACCATCTGCGCTGTTACTGATCCTCAAGCTGTTACTTTCTGCACGTGGAGATGCTGAGTATCTTGTTGAAGGACTCAGACATATTGGTTTGACATATTGTTGATGTATTTTGTGAGGTCTAATATACCTCTCCTCACGTATATGTGGGCTTGTTTTAGAGACTACACTTTTAAACCTGATTTGAGTGCAGCTTTTCCCCCCCATAAAGGTAAAGGTTTGAATTTCGATATAGGGAGTAAATTCCAGGTCAGTAGATCATTACAAGGTTGTAAGACATCTTTAAACAGCACTTTTTATTCTGAAAATCAAGTGATTGGGTACTGAACTGACGTTGAGGTCACCCACATAGTTTGGTAGCATTTTTAATAAACGTCAAACCACATTTAAAGCATTTTTATTTAGCTTTTTTTAATGCATTACGGCAAAGAAGATTAAAGCAGCTTCCTATTTATTACAGTGTCAGTTACTTTTTAATTTGTGTTCAGTGAAAATAGTCATTTTGTAAATGTGAAACTATGTTAAAGGATTCATGACTCCAGTCCTGTTGCACTCGTTGAGATATTGGATCAGTATTGCTCCATTTTCTAAAGTATTTTTTTTTATCAGTGTTAAGATCCTCAGACACTTCAAAAAGTGGCTAAACAGTAACAAAAGTTGCTGAATTTTTAGTGCTGGTTTGAGTTGAAGACAAAGTATTTAATAAAATCCTATAATGATATTTTATTAAGTTTTTTTTATTACTGTTTTTCAATATCTGTTTTGTATTTGAATGGTTTTGTAAACTGAAATTAAGCTATTTAAAACCTTTTTGTGTACGTGATTACATCATCATTCTCACATACATTGACAAATAATGTCAAATACAAAAAAACCTTATTTACAGATCACTAGATTTAGCCTTTATCATAATGGTAAAGAATAAATAATGGCTTTCAGTGACTTTGCACTTCTGCTGTTCTCTATGTGTTAAAGACACCTTATGACAGCAAAAGTGCACTGGTTTGAGATGTGCTGTCACTGCCATTAAAAGGGTTAGTTCACCCAAAAATGAAAATTAGGCTGCGTTTTACTCACCCTCGAGGCATCCTAGGTGTATATGACTTTCTTCTTTCAGACGAATCCAGTCGGAGTTATATTAAAAATTGTCTTTGATCTTTAAGTTCTATCACTGCAGTCAGCGGGTGTTGCAGTGCTTCAGTCCAAAAGAAGTTAAATAAAAAGTGCCCATCCATAAAAAAAAAA